CTCCCTCTTGCTCAGGTTAGCCTTGAACCTGTGAGGTCAGGGCAGTCCACCTGCCTCGTCTCCCAGAGTGCTAAGATTACAAGTGTAAACCATTGTACCTGGCCAGACTCTAAACTTTTGAATGAATTATCTAGGATTAAAAGAATGTAAAGAAAGAGAGAGTGAGAGTATCCTTCAAGATATGTTTGAAATAGGGCAGTGCCTGTGGTTCAGTGGGTAGGGTGCCAGCCCCAATACCAAGGGTGGTGGGTTCAAACCCGGCCCCAGCCAAACTGCAACAAAAAAATAGCCAGGCGTTATGGTGGCATCTCTAGTCCCAGCTACTCGGGAGGCTGAGGCAAGAGAATCACCTAAGCCCAGGAGTTGGAGGTTGCTGTGGGCTGTGTGATGCCACAAAACTACAGAGGGCCATAAAGTGAGACTCTGTCTCTACAAAAAAAAAAAAAAAAGATGTGTTAGTACATCCTCATTTTACAGATATGGAAACTGGGGCTCTTTGAGAGGAACTGCCTCTTCTAAGGTTATAAAGCCAGTGGCAGAGAGATAGTACTACATATCAGTGTCCTGGCTTTAAAGTGTGAGCTAGCAGTAGCTCTCTATCGTTGACATAGAAACTCCTTTAGGTCCCATTACCTAACTACACCATCATAGTGATGGCAGCTTCACACGGTATTATGAGTCTTGTGGGAGGGCTGGCTAAAATGGCTGGTGAGTGGCTAGTGTGCCCTGCAGAGGCAAGTTAGTGTGGGAGGAAAGGTTTAAGATGAGAAGCCAGGGTACCTAGGGCCAGGCCTGTCCGGGGATGTTGGACAGATTATTTAATGTCTGCTTTAGTAGTAAAGGGAAGATAAATAGTATGTACCCCGCCTCTATTTCATAGTGTGGTTATATTATAAAGTTTAAAATGTGAGATGTAGGTGAAGTTTTATAAAGTGTAAAGAGTAATTTATGAAAACCAACATCGCCACTGTTTGGCAGAATGAAAGGTCCTTTTAGCTGTTGGTTTCAGCATGCTATTGTTTTGGAGTCAATCCTTTTTTTAGAAGAATCCAATTTTCTGTCTTGGGTCATTGACTCTTTCAATAGTAACTAAAGAAAATAGCAGTTAAGCTCAATTACATAGCGGTGCTATAATAGTAAAGCTCAGTAGTAATTAAATCATATGCAGTAACTGACGTCATGCTGTTCATTGTATTTTTCATTTCCCTACAAGTCTGTTTTATGTTATTTATAGCTTCCTATTCATATAGATACCAGCCGCAAACTAGGGAAAATTTGTGGCAGCAGTTTGTGAAAACCACCTTCTAGCGTCATTCCAAACCATTACATTTCTTTTTCCACAAAATTGTTGTAATTATAATAGTGTGTTTTCTGTATGTTTGAAACTTTTTATAATAAAGGTAATCAGAATTAAGGGGCAACAATTCTAATTAGAATAAAATGCCACTCTCTAGACTCTAGAGAGACCTAATAGTAATGCTGCCGTTGTGATGTCCAGGTAGAGATTAGATGTGATAAACCTGGATAGTGGAAGAAAAGATCCAGGGATGAACAACTAGACCAGGGGTCCTGAAACTTTTTAAACAGGGGTCCCTCAGACCCTTGGAGGGCTGGACTGCGGGCCCTGGGACGAGTCGGCTGCTAAGCAGGATAGGCAGCAGTGGCAAAAACACCTGGCGGGCTGCATGTGGCCCATGGGCCGTAGTTTGAGGACACCTGAACTAGATTATCTTGCTGCCTTAGAGCTGCCTGCTTGCCCCCAGATCACTGAGCAGGTATTTACGAAGGTATTATTTGACTGTCAACTTAGCAATCAAGAAGGACATTCATTTGGGGTAGAATAACAAACCAGGTCATCTGGGAGTGAAGACCTCTGTTTAATTCAGTACCTGCCACTTCCCATGTTATTTTGGTTAAGAGAAAGAGAGATATAGTGAAAGAATTTTAGAATATGTCCCACACATAATAGGTCCATATTTACTTCTCCGTTTACAACTAAATCACACTCTATTTAAAAAGTTAGTGAATGTTGATAGTGCATTTTGTTTTCATGAATTCTTTTGAGGATAAATCTCATAGTACTTTTGTTAAAAAGATAGGTTATTTTTGAAGGGTTTGTATGCAGTGTTCTTTTCTGATATTCAAATCTAAAAGAATTAAACCCCCAAGAATTATTGAGTAACATATGGACTGGTTTGTAAGTCTGGGTGGGGTAAAGGTCTAGCTAGATGTGTAGTGACTGTAGAGAACTTTAGGGAGCAACCAACACTTCAGTACATAGGCCAGACCTCTTCTCAAGGCAAGACTTGTATTATAAAGACAAACAATCTATACATTTGATATGATTCTAATGAAAATCCAACATAGTTTTTCTTTTTTTTAGAGATAGAGTCTCACTTTGTCACCCTTGGTAGAGTACTGTGGCATCACAGCTCATAGCCACCTTCAGCTCTTGGGCTTAGGCGATTCTCCTGCCTCAGCCTCCCAGTCCCTATATCTGGGACTATAGGCGCCCGCCACAATGCCCAGCTATTTTTTTGTTGCAGTTTGGCCAGGGCTGGGTTTGAACCTGCCACCGTTGGTATATGGGGCTGGTGCCCTACTCACTGAGCCACAGGCGCTGCCCCAACATAGTTTTTCTTAATGAACTTGACAAGCTGACACTAGAATTGATTTAGAAGATAAAATGGGAGAGAATAGCAATAGCCAAAGAATTTGAAAAAAGGCCAGTAGAGACCATGTGCAAGCAAAAGGAAAAGCAAAAGGAATTAGAAAGGGTTCCTGCATTTCACTAAAGATTGACTCGGTGCTTAGAGCACAGTGGTGACAGCACTGGCCACATACACTGAGGCTGGTGGGTTCGAACCTGGCCTGGGCCAGCTAAAAAACAATGACAGCTGCAACACAAAAATAGCTGAGCATCCTAGTGGGCGCCTATAGTCTTAGCTACTTGGGAGGCTGAGGCAAAAAAATTACTTAAGCCCAAGAATTTGAGGTTGCTGTGAGCTGTGGTGCCACGGCACTCTACCAAGGGCAACACAATGAGAATATCTCAAAAAAAAAGAGCTAAAGATAAATTGTAAGCTAATTATAAACCATAAAATTAACATGTACAAATTTTGTTTACAGTTAGTAGACAAGGTAAGGTATAACATCTGAGAACTATAAAGAAAGTGATTGATAAATTTGACTTCATAAAAAATTAAAATGTCATAGGACTGAAAAATACCAAGTTTAAACAAAATTGACAAAACAATAGATTGGGTAAAAGTGTTTGCCTTGTAAATAGAAGTCAAAGGATTAATACTCATATATAGCATATTTATAAATCAGTAAAAAATTGATGAATTAATCAGTGGGAAATTAATCAAAGGATTTGAACAAGATGAATGACAAATAAGAAGATTCCCAGCTTCACTAATACTTTAGGGAGGTCTAATAAAAACAGTAAAATATTTGGCTTGGCGCCAGCCACATACACTGGAGCTGGTGGGTTCAAATCTAGCCCAGGCCTGCCAAACAACAGTGACAACTACAACCAAAAAAAAAAAAAAGTAGCCAGGCATTGTGCATGTTGTCCCAGCTACTCAGAAGGCTGGGAAGAGAATCACTTAAGAGAATCACTTAAGCCCAAGAGTTGGAGGTTGCTGTGAGCTGTGATGCCACAACACTGTACCCAGGGTGACATAGTGAGACTCTGTCTCAAAAAAAACCCACCACCACCAACAAAAAAACCTCAGTAAAATATTTTTTACCCATGTGAGGTAGAAAAATTTAAAAACTTGTGAATATTTGTTGCAAAAGGTGTTATTAACATGTTGGAGGGCACATAAATCAGTATAGGTTGTTTTGTTTATTGGCTAAACTTGGTAGTTTAAACACCCTTCAAGTCAGTTATTTCAATTGTAAGTTTCTATCCTAGCAACCTATATACACAAGTATATAAGTTGGTTTTACATAAGAGCTGGGAAATAACCTAGAAACATCTCAATAGCAAGTTAAATAAACTAGGAAACACCTGTATTAAGGAATAGTACATCTAGTTATTAATATAAAGAATGAAATAGATTTGTGTGTAACTTTATTTCATGAAAGTAACTCCAGTATATACTTTTAAGCAAAACAAAATACAAACAACAAAAAGCAAGTTGTAGAACAGTATATACTATATACTCTTATTTATTTAAGAAAAAACTTGAAGTTTTTCTTTAAAGTGTTTGTTAGTTTTACTCTTGGCACTGTAGAAAGACATTGACTGTTTTCATGTGTAAATTAACATAGGAGAGTATACAGGAAACTCTATGGTGTTACTTTGGTGGGTAGGGTATGTACTCCCTACATTTATGTATTATTTAAACTTTCTTCAGTGGCACATATCATTTTTTTTATTTTATTTACTTATTTATTTATATGTTTTTGAGACAGAGTCTCTCTGTCACCCTTGGTAGAGTACTGTGACGTCACAGCTCACAGCAACCTCAAACTCCAGGGTTCAAGCGATTCTCTTGCTTCAGCTTCCCAAGTAGCTGGGACTACAGGTGTGAGCAACTGCACAGGCTATTTTTAAAAATTGGGGTCTCACTCTTACTTACTCCAATTCTGGTCTCGAATTCCTGAGCTCAAGTAATCCACCCACCTTGGCCTGAGTGCAGTGATTATAGGTGTGAGTTACCACGTCCAGCCCACATATCATTTTTATAACTTAAAGAGCAAAAGATACTCTTTTGTTATTGGGCTTCCTCCCGACCCCCCATTTGTCAGCAAAGGAGGGCATGTAGGCATAAACAAATCATTTTAGGTAACCAGAGGTTCAGTTCATTGTCTTTTGCCCTGACATGTCATAAACTTTGCCTCTCTTTCTTCAGTAAAGTCAACCCCTGAAGGCAGCCACCCTGAGTGCCCTCTGTCCTTAGCAGAGCCCTGGACACCTAGGCTGCTGCATCCAGTCAGTTGGGGAGAGGCTTCTTGCACTTGGTAACTTGCCTATCTCATCCACTTAGGATGTTTACAAACCTCGTCGGAAATACAAACGCCAACAGGGAGCAGGGGAGCTGTTTGATGAAGAATCTCGAGTTCATGCTACACTTTTGGAATATGGCAGGTAATGAACAAGACCCAGTCTAGGTGTCTATTTTATAAACCCATTCAAAAGAAAAGCTAATTTAAATAACTTCTTTTGAATTAACTTGTTTGAGTTCCACCTGATGGAGCATACTATTTCAGCCATGAAATTTCCAGAATCAGGGACTTTTTTTGTATCTAATTACCCAAGTTTTTGCAGGACCTTTGCAGTTAATTCCTCTCTGGAAATGTGCACGTGGTTCTGCCCTCCTTGGGGAGTTGGGGTGGTTGTGGCACTTGGAGTGGCTGGCATGGTCTGCCCTTCATGCCTTGCTATTTATTAAAATCTTTAGATACAAATCTCTTTGTTGCCAAGTGATTTTTGGTCTTTTGGATATACACCTAGTAGAGGAATTACAGGATCAAATGGCAGGTCTACATTTAGATCCCTGAGCATTCTTCAAACTTCTTTCCAAAAGGAATGTAGTAACTTGCATTCCCACCAGCAGTGTAGAAGTGTTCCCTTTTCTCCACATTCATGCCAACATCTGTAGTTTTGGGATTTTGTATGTGGGCTACTCTTACTGGAGTTAGGTGATATCTCAAAGTGGTTTTGGTTTGCATTTCTCTTATGATTAAAGATGATGAGCATTTTTTCATGTGTCTGTAGACCAGGTGTCCTCAAACTACGGCCTGCGGGGCACATGCGGCCTGCCAAGGACATTTATCTGGCTTGCCAAGTGTTTTTGCCACCACTGCCTGTCCTGCTTAGCAGCCGACTTGTCCCAGGGCCCGCAGTCCAACCCTCCAATGGTCTGAGGGACAGTGAACTGGCCCCCTTTTTAAAAAGTTTGAGGACCCCTACTGTAGACCATGCGCCTGTCTTCTTCAGAGAAGCTTCTGTTCATGTCTCTTGCCCACAATAGCTCAATTCATAATTGCCAAGTCATGGAAGAAGCCCAAGTGCCCATCTACACATGAATGGATTAATAAATTATGGTATATGTACACCGTGGAATACTATGCAGCATTAAAAAAAGATGGAGACTTTACCTCTTTTATGTTTACATGGATAGAACTGGAAAATATTCTTCCTAGTAAAGTATCTCAGGAATGGAAATAAAATTATCCGATGTACTCAGTACTACTGTGAAATAAATGTATAATCACTCACACTTTCATATGAAAGATGAATCACAACTAAGGAGGGAAGGGGAGGGGGGTGGTTTGATGGAGGGTTAATGGTGGGACCACATCTATGGAGCATATTGCAAGGGTACAAGTCAAATCTATCAAGTATAGAACACAAGTGTCTGGACACTGTGAGTAAGTAAATGAGGTGAAAGCTATGTTAATTAGTAGGATGTAAGCCCTCCAATCTGTACAAATAATCAACACATTGAATCCCATAAAGGCATAAATGTATTCATGATCTATGTATATATGACTTAATAAAAAAAAAGATAAAATCTTCAGATAAAAGAAATGAAAGCAGTTTTAGCAGTTTCACTCTGAGTGTTAGAATAATAATTTTGGTTTCCTGTGAAGATTGTCCTGATTAGGAAAATTAAGAATTTAGAAATACGGGCAGCGCCTGTGGCTCACTGAGTAGGGCGCTGGCCCCATATACCAAGGGTGGTGGGTTCAAACCCAGCCCCAGCCAAATTGCAACAAAAATATAGCAGGGCATTGTGGTGAGTGCTGTAGACCCAGCTACTCGGGAAGCTGAGGTAAGAGAATTGCCTAAGCCCAAGAGCTGGAGGTTGCTGTGAGCTGTGATGCCACAGCACTCTACCAGCACCTAAAGTGAGACTCTGTCTCTAAAAAAAAAAAGGAATTTAGAAACAGTTTCCTCACTTTTAAACATCTTAGTTTTTAAAAAACATTTATTTTAATATCCTCAGTTTTTACTTTAAAAACCTATAAAAAAAAAAACCACGAGGGCATTCTTTTCTCCATTGAATTTTTTGGTTGCCACTAGGCATTAACCTTCTTCCATATTCTGCATTCTTTACTTAGGGTAACTGATTTCTTGATGTGAGTATGTCTTCTTGTGCTTCCTTCCTGGGTGCTGCTCTGCCTCACTACCCAGACCTTGTTGGGGAGCTGGAACTAACCACTCCACGCCTACTAGCATTTCCCTGAGTGAGCAGCCAATGGCTTCTCCCTGTAGAGTACTGGAGAGAACCTGAGGGAAATAAAGCTTAACTAAACTAGTTTGCAAATGGAAAATGCAAGTGCTTTTTTAGTGAAGTGATAGTTTGGGGTCAAGTCTTTTCTTCCTAAGAATAAAAACTAGTCTGTTCCAAAGGAAGTCAGCGTAGTTCTGGCCCTAAGTTGGGAGTGATGGTTGTCCCCACAGTTCCCCAGTTGCCTCTGCAAACTGACTGCCTCCTCAGAGTCACGCATCACCAGGCCTAGCTATGTAATTTTCAGGGCCCATGACAAAATGAAAAGGCAAGACCTCCTTGTTAACAAAATTAGTTAATGATTAATTATTAATAATTCCAAGACAGCAACAGCCATTAAGTGCAGGATCCTTCTAAGCCTGGGCCTTCAAGAGGCTGGGTGGGTTGGGGTTGCATGGAAAATCAGATGTCCCTGGGGATGAAAAGTCAGAGATTCAGTATATTGCCAGCTTCACTGAGGCCTTATTGACCATATTTCAATATTTTGTTCAGAAATTCTTAGCTTTAAATGAGATCTTTTCATATATGTTGTATGTAGATGGCAGTCATTATCACTGTGCTCATATCCTTGCCCATCCTCAAATGGTAGTGCAGTTTGAGGCCAGAATCTGGCTTGGTTCTGTTCAGGAACAGAGCAAGGCAGAGGTTTTATTTGCTTCTTTTAATTCTGAGTGGTGATTGTTGGGAACTTATTGCCACTGAGAGACCACCACACTCATGCAAGAACAGAGGTGCTTTATTTATTTACAAGCATATGCCTGGGTCACTCTACCCTGCAGCGTTGCTGGGGGAAGGGCATCCCCAAAGTGAAGCGAGCTAGAGGAATTACATCAGGTGTTTTGTCGGGTGGGGTTGCTATTGGCTAAGCTATTTTTGGTTGGGGACTTTTTTAGAGGGGGGCTGCTTGAAGAGGGGGCTGCTTATTTGTTTCTGATAGACTGGCTCCCTTTAGGCTGACTGACCTTGCCCATGAGAACCAAGGGAGGGGAAGCTGCTCCCCTTCAGACTGGCTGCCCAGAAGTGTGGGGGAGGGAGCGTCTCCTTGTGATAGACTGATTCCACCTGGGCAACCTTGCCCAGGAGCGGGGGTTGGGAAATGAGTTCCAAGATGAAGTTACATTAACCTCTTCATTCCCAAATGAAGTTACATTAACCTCATCAGTGATAAAAAACAAAGCATCTGTTTTGGGAGGTTTTTTGGTTTGTTTGTTTTGTTTTGTTTTATGCAACAGGGTAAGAGAAAAGCAGTTTGACCAGTATTGCAACAAAATGTCTTAGTACCAGTTTAGTTCCTGTTGGTGGGGACATGCTGACTTATGCTAATTTCTGAGGCTAGGGTAGGTATGTGGTGATAGGTTAGTATTTTTTCATTGTTTATGTTTTAGAACAAGGAGGAGAAGGAGTTACTTTGTTTTCTTTTTTTGCTTTTCTGGCAGGGAGCCAGTTAGGTTGTGATGGGTAAGGGTAGTGGATATTTAGGACGTTCTGATAGTTTATTTAGCTCGTTTTACTCTTTGAGATTAATAATGAAATTATTCAGAAAGATTAAAAAATAACTTGCCCAAAGTTACAGAAGTATTAAGAAGCTCAAAGTGGGACTTGAATGCAGGTCTCTTAAACTCCAAAAGCAAGTCATTTATCTGCAAATATTGTTTGTGCCTGCAGTGAGAGTGTGTTTTTTAGATTGTGGGTTTTAGAAAGACAAACCAGGTCTTTGGTGTTTGCTGTGAGACTGAACGAGAAGAGAGTGGTTATTAAAATTGATGGAGCCAATTGGATAAAAAAGCCCTGAGAGTGTATACCTTACTCTACCTCAGTGGGAAGGCCTCTCCCTTCCTTCCTGGCCATCTGATTCTTTACTCTAGGTTGTATTCAATAATCCCACATGGAGCTCTGTCCAGTAAGTGACGATTATATAACAATGCAAATGTAAAGAAGTTTGAACCCTTTGTCCTATGTAGAAAACTCAGTAAATGTTAGGTGTTATTATTCTTATCCTTGTCATGATTTTTGGTAAGCATCAGTGTTCACCTCTAAAATACCCTTATATAGGACCTTTTCTCCTTCCAGTTCTTCTTGTCCCTGTGTTCCCTTGGTGGGGTGAAGAGGGAAAGCTTCCCCCTGGCCCTTTGAAGGTTCACTGAGAATGAACTGACAAGGTAGATTAACAAGAGAAGAGGGCTTAGAAATTTTCATAACCCAGTGATGTCAGATGCTTATACACCCTTCTTCAGAGGGCAGAGGGAGATGGAGAAATGTGGTGAGTGAGGGTAGTAAATGAGTTTGTGGGGGAATGAATGTACTTTATGCTCAGATGATGAGATGATTAAATAAATGCCTGGAAAAATGGAACAGGATAGAACACAGGAAACAGTAGGAGTTCTAGATAAGGTATTTCATTTTTAGTTTCTGGCTCTACGGTATGTAATGAGATTTTAGGAAGGAAATGGAACGCACTCGTGTTCATAAAGACAGGTCCGGTCTTTATGCAGACAAGGGAAAATAGCCTTTTCCAGCATCTGCAGGCCTTTAAGAGCTTAAGTCAATGTTCAGCATAGCCAGCATGCCATATGACATATCCCTGACTCCTTCACTCATTACCTCCAGCTCTAGCCGTCCCTTCAGCACCTGCATGGGAAGACTTACTGCCTCGTCTTTCCCCCAGCCAAGCAAGGATGGCCCTCTTCTGGCCCAGGGACTCACTTTGCTCCATCCTCCCTCTCCCCTCACCCTGTGGCCTTCCTGAATTCCTCATCCCCCATACCAGGGCACATTTTTAGGAATTCAAATCCTTCATCTGTTTCCAAGTGTTCCTTTTTCTACCTCATCTCACCTTTTCATAAGGGAGAAA